AAATGTGCAGAGCGGGGGTACGCGAGGACTGGAAATGAGAACCGCTGATCTAGAAGGACAAAAACATTATTAATAATTCTGATTTAACATTCCAGCCAATCGGAACACACTTCATGCACGGAGCTCTTTTCTAACGAGATGATGATCTGAATCAGGTGTGTTAACAAAGAGAGACATGCAAAACATGCAGAGCGGGGGTAAACGAGGACTGGGATTGAGAACCGCTGCTCTAGATTATGAAATGCCTGCTTTATATATTACTATGAACTATACTCAAACTGCGATCGCTCGCGGAGATAATAAATAATTAATTTCCATAGAGTTGTATTTATTTAGATGTTTATTAGCGAAATATTGGTTATATAGTAAATGTTAATACAATTGAGGGTATTTTAAACAAGTGAATCTTGTTAAAAGTTGCATGCGGTGGCCGTGCTGGAGCATTTCCTGAGCATCAACCCGGTGAGTGAACAGCAATATGAAAGCGGCTTCACGAGACTATAATGAGCAAATATACAACAGAGAGAGAATTCAATTCAGCGCTTTTATTTCCAACATGCGCTCATTCATGGCTGTATTATTTAACTCATGCAAAGTTACGTCTTTATTGGGAGAGGATCTTGACGGATTATCTACGTGACTCCGACTTCACGAGACTAACGATGAGCATAAACAACAGAGAGAATTCAATTCAGTGCTTTTATTTCCAACATGTGCACATTCATGGCTTGTCTAATGTTTTCAAATGGAGAAAATAAATAAAGGACAGGAGTCATATCAACTTCATTTTAAACTACAGTTTTAGTAGGTTTATAAGCTGTTTAATATCTACAGAGTCAAGAATAGTTCACTGGATAATGTTAATTCACTCAATAATATTCTCTGGAATATTGGAATATAACAAACAAAACATCGTATTTTATTGAATTTCTCAACTGGAATGTTAAATCAGAATTATTAATAATGTTTTTGTCCTTCTAGATCAGCGGTTCTCATCTCCAGTCCTCGCGTACCCCCGCTCTGCACATTTTGTGTGTTTCTCTTATTGCTTCATACGTTTGTTATGTTTGACTGTAAGTGCCCTGCGAAGTGGACATTACCGGATATTCCTCCATGATTCCAGTTTGAAGGGAGCGTATATGTTCCATACAAGGGGCATTTAAGTGTGCGAGACGTGAATTTAAATTGTATTTATTTACAGAGGTATATTATCTCCCACTTCACGCTTCTCTAGTAAGTTTCGTTTGTGTGTGAAGACGCTGCAGGTAACAGTGCAAATCTGTAAATTAATATTCCGAAGTGAAGTAAACC